CTGGACAATTCAATTGCAAAGCGCCCCGGCCGAGGAGCACCCAGGAGACGCTATCATAAAATTTCTCCAAATCCAAAAGAAGAGTGGCCGAAGTGACACCGAGGTAGGACGCCGTTTCGTCCAAGAGGGAACGGACGAGAGCGGCCTGCAGCGCAGAACTGCCGGCAATCGCAGTGTCCCAGAAGTCCCCCAACTCCTGGGTCCACTGGGAGGTGAGACCATACCGAAGACGGGACCACACCTTGGCACATTCCGCCAAGAGGCCGATCACTCGTTCCCCCCCGCGAGCCTTGGGGAGGAGGGCTCCGATCGATGCAAACAACTGGGTGGGCCAAACATTATCTGCCTCGACCGCGCTCAACAACGCGAGGTGCATCTGCTGGCCTGCAGGAGGCATGCGCTGGAGGTCCACGGGGGTGAGACCACCCACTCCTCGCGCCTTGGCGGGGAGAGAACGAAGCACTACATCGAGCATCTCTTCCGTAAAGGGCGGAAGCTCAAAGCGGTCAGAAACGCGCCCAAGCTCATTCAGAATACACAAAATGTCAGACTCCAGATCGACAGGGTCCTGCCATAACTTATCCCACTGCTCTCGCCGGCCGCCCTGCTGAGCAGCAGGCTCAGAGACAGATTCGGAATTTCGAACAACCTCATGGGCAACAACAGCGGGGTCTCGAACAAGAGAGTGGACCAAGCCTGGTTGACTTCCACTGCTCCAGCGCCCACTTGGTGAACTCCTGCCGTCTGCGCGTCAAGCAGCGGGCCTGGATGCGGCCAGCCAGACGAGAAGTGCGCGACGCTAGATCATCACGCTCCGCCTCGGTGGACGACCCCAGGTCGCGGGCCCACGAGAGCCAGGTGGTGCGGAGCTCGCCTCCCTCCTTGCCGAAGTACTCGTCACAGTCCAGACCCTCAACCTCCCGGCAGCGCCGACACAGCAGATGAAGACAAGCCTCTTGCTGCCCAGGGTCCTTGCCATGACGTTTCAACGCCGCCCACCAGCCGACGAGCGTGCTGACTACACCCCACCACTCGGCGGGGCCATCCACCATGTGGGCTCTCCCAGGAGTGGCGCGAGACTTCTGCCGGCGCTCGGTACATGCAGAGGCGCGCCCGAGCAGAGAGACGACCTCGCTGCCCTCCAAGCCATGGTGGCGGGCAACAGCCTGCTCCAAAATGGACACCCATCGGCCGTGCAGAAAGGTGACGTGGTCACGGCCCGAAGGATTCCTGGTCTGAACGAAGTGGCTGTCATGCACCCCCTGGCAAGTGGAGGAAAACGAACTGGAGGAAGCCGTGGAAGCCAGCGCATCCCAAAACTCAGCATCGATGGGATATGCAACTGGGGGCGAGGATGTGCTCGAAACGACCTCCGCCTCCTGCATAAGATCAAACTCCGCCTGAATATCGGGAGGGAGACGCTCTCTTCGACGGGCAAGCGCCTCAGCACGCTGAGTGGGCCGCTTGCTCGAAGGGTCGCTCTGGATCCGCGGTCGCCCGGGATTGGGGAGGGCACCGGCCACCGCCAGCTTCATGTACCACCAAGCTTTGGCAGCACATTTCACCGTGACCTTCAGACCAATGCGCGTCTTCCACCCCGCGTCGAACACTCCAGAAACCCGGAAACGCGACTCGCACCCTGAACGGATGACGGCATAATCAATGAGACTGCCCTTGGCAGCCTTGTCGCACGTGGTGCTGCAGTTATCCGGCAATGCCAAGCATCCGCCTAGCTCGGTGAGCCGGCCGGGGCCCGTCAAGGCAGGAGGAGGCATGTCCCAATCCCCCACGATGACCCACGGGTCGGCCAACCCGCGAACGAAAGCGCAGAGGGCTGCGAGCACCGTGCGGTTGTAGCCCGCGGTGCCGAGTCCTGGAAGAAGGTAAACTCTAATCGCGACCAAATTCCCTGACGACAGGTGCCAGACCAGGCCTGCGAATCCCCGGAATGGATCCCGCTGGCAATTGGCAACCGCCGCAGTGCGCATGCCTCCGAAGGTGGTGGTGGCGAGGTGCTTCTTGGCCAACACCCATTCGCCGCCTGACGAGCCGCCCCGCCCCGTCGGCGAGCTGTGGGAAGCTGAGACCTTCCACCCGTCTTTATCAAGATCTCGCTCCACCCCGGAGGCGAACTCGCCATAGGTGACATGCGCCTCAACCATCACGACCACCTGGAAGCCACAGCTGTTCAGAAAGCGAGCCGCCTTAGGGCCCCACTGCATGAGATTGCCATACAGAAAGGAAACGCCGTCACCGTGACCAGGAGCACCCTCAACGACAGGTTCCGTGCCCAACAACGGCTCCGACCTCTCTGAACCTCTGGGTGCAGGCGGGCCCTCATCAGTGGACCGGAGCCCTTCTGGCGTCGCCGCCGCGCCATAAAATGGCACCGGGCCCTCAAGAGAAGGCGCAACTTCAGCAGAGAGACAATCAGAAGGATCGATATCTTCATCATCCATCGTAGTTGCGCTCCGCCGAGCAGCCGTCGCTTCAGAAGACCCTGCCCCTGCCATCATGTCCCCCCCAGTCGCATTGGGGTATGAAGAGCTCAGGGTTGCTGCAATGGCATTGCCGGCGAAAGTGGAAGAAAAACCACCCGCCCTCGGAGAAGAGCCGGCAACCGAGCAGCGTGAAGCCGCACTCCCTTGCCACCAAGCTTCTCCAATCAGTCGCTCCTCCTCACGCGTGAGGAACTCATCGCCGTAGGGGAACGCCTGGCCACCGCATAAGATCGGCCTGGCATTGCTAAGCGGAGGACTGCTGGACCTGAGCCTCGGCCTTGGCGCGTCCCTCGGCGAGGAGCTGCTGCAGCCTGGGATCAGCGTCAGGAGCACCACCAGCAGCTTGAGGAGCCGCAGCCGCGGCAGGGCCTCCGGCCACGCCGCCACCAGCACCGGAGGCGGCGGCGCCCGCGGAGGCGCCCGCGGCGCCGGCAGCAGGCGCGGCGTCCGCGGCGGAGCCCGCGCGGCGGCGCCCGCGGCGCCGGCAGCAGGCGCGGCGCCCGCGGCGCCGGCAGCAGGCGGGGCCTCTGGCCGGCGGCGCTTCCCGCGGAGCCGTTCCGCGACCTTGCGCGCCTCCTCCCGCAGCGCCTGGAGGTTCTGCGCGGTGGGGCCGAGAACCTTGGCCAGCTCCGACTTGATGTGCTTCCCGAGCTCGCCTTTGACGCGGTCCCATTCCTTGCGGTCGGCCGCCTTCA